GTCGGCTGATGGCGCCTCGGAGGAGGGCCTTCTCTGAGCCGCTCCGGCCCTATGGATTGAACTACCCCCCAAAATCCGGATCCTACCCACTCTCATGGCCTTCCGAAAAGCTATCAAAACCTGGATATTCCGGCAGGCCTGGGGCTGTTAACCTCTTGACCGAGGTCCAGTCCCGATTAGACTGGGTGCATGATGTGTTTCTTTTAATCTGCTTTCTTCTGTTTGTTTTTAACCTTTCTCTTAAAAATTTATTTTCTGTAAGCCACCCGGAGTCCTTCGGGATTGGGCGGCCTATAAGTTTAATAAATAGAAATAGAAATAGGTATTACCGAGGCCTGATTCCTGAGACCAGACTATAGCATCTGAAGAATAACAACTGAGTTCAAAATAATAGAAACAGTAGGAATGGAGACAAATCACAATCTATGTCAAAACTATCCTCAGCTGCTTCAAAAGCCAACTTAATGAATTCGGTGATACTGTAGAAATTATCTGATTTAAAATAAGAGTAGGGCTGACCAAAACAATTATTCTTAGTATCTGCTATTATTGGCCCAACCAAGGAGATAGTGTGTAGAATACTTGCCAGATGAGGAACAAGTAGTAATAATGGAGGAGTTTTATTATCCTCATGTCAGTGGGAAGAAATATCAAGAGTTCTTCCAGGAAATTTCTGAACTATACAGCTTTTTTGTTCAGCTAATAGAATTAAAAGGGGGAAATCTCGACTACAACTGTGAGTTTCCCCACCTTTTTTAATGAATGTTTTTACTATTTGATTACAGTTTGTTTTTGCGCTTAGTATTATTTTTATTGTTGGATGCATGGAAAGTATAAAGGAATATTTTAATCAAAAAGAAAATTCATAAATAAAATGCCAATATGCTTTATATTAATAAGAACAATTGGTGTAGTGGTTACCGTACCAGGGTAGAAATTGGGGAACCAGGAATTCTAGTTCTGCCTAAGGCATGAAGGACCTGGGGCCAGTCATTCTTTCTCAACCCTAGAAAGGAGGGAATGACAAATCATGACTGAAAAACCTTCCCAAGAAAACTGCAAGGACTAGACCAGGGAATCTCCATGAGTCAATACTACTCAAAGACACACCAAAATGTATTTTTTTCATACAAAACTAGGAACAATATGAAAATAATAAAGGACATAAATAGAAAGTGGAAAGAGGGACACATAATAAGGAAAAGAAGGCATAGTTAGCCTGGATTTGTAGAAAAATAGGATAACAGTAATTCAGAATGAACTAAGGTTGAGAAAGGATGCTAAGAAGATTCCCCCCCCCCCGGCCCGACTCCTAGGAAAATAAAAAGTCTTCTGTGCAAGTAAAACAACAAAGGTAGAATAAATTGTATATTCCATTATTTACAATAAAGTGCAGGACAGAAAATTAATAATTAACTATATATTATATAGCTAAATGTTCCTTGGTTTTTATGGAAGCTTTATGCTTAACTATCTAAAACAGTGGTAGTCAACCTGGTCCCTACTGCCCACTAGTGGGCATTCCAGATTTCATGGTGGGCGGTAGGGGTTTGCTGTAACTCTGCTTTATAAATTTTATAAAGTAAAGTTACTTCCCTACTTTATAAATCACCATTACTGTGGAACGGTGGGCAGTTAGAAAATTTTACTACCAACAGAGATACAAAAGTGGGCGGTAGGTATAAAAAGGTTGACTACCCCTGATCTAAAATCTAGAAAGCCTTGCAGTCACCATAGCCTGGTTTCAAAAACTTCTTTGAGAGGATGTCTATGCAGAATTCATGTTAAGTTAATCTTTCTAGAAGCATAGAATGTGATATGGTTTTTCCTCAAGGACTAGCTTTCAAACAGAGATGGCAAGCCATCTAAGTGTGATAATGAGGCACAAAGCATCCAGAATTTTCATCTGATAGAAGCCTGCTTTACGTACAGTAACTGACAGTTTAAGGACAGTTCATGTCCTACATTATAGGACAAGTTCTCCAGTTTTCCTTCTAGCTTCTTCCTCGGGTCATTCACCATCCTACTTAATAGTTTTTCTTCAATTCTAACATTTGAGGGGAAATTACTGAGTAAGAAGGATGAATGCACCAAGGAAGAAGCTAGAAGAAAAATTGGGGAATGTATCTTGAAATTAGTGACGTGCAGTCAGGGGAGGCAGGGCCTCACCACTGTCATCATGAAAAGAAAAAAAATTAAAGGAAAAGGGCTGAGGTAGTTGCTGCCAGAGTCACAGTGGATGACTGCTCAGTGCTTAACTGTTTAAAAAAGCCTCTAAAAAGTGCCCTCTACAGGAGGAGGCGGGAGAACCACGTGCCTCATTTAGTCTATCTTTATGATCACTCTAGCAGAGTTAAGCAAGGGTTAAAAGCCAAAAAATTCCTTATGTAGATGAGGCACGTGGTTCTCTCGCCTCCTTCTGTAGAGGGTGTTTTTTAAAGAGGATTTTTAAAACAGTTTTAAACAGTTAAGCAGAGTCATCCATTTAACCCGCTTGCCTCACCAGCCATAAACCTCACTGCATGTCACTGCTTGAAATACTTCAAGCTGTTTGCGAAAACAGAAAAAATGTTCATATTCGCTAGAGGTTCTTCACCTAACTTGTTCAATATTGTACAATGGTCCAGCCAAATGAAACATTATTTGATTTCTCCAGTACCTTCAGCCGGTTTATTCAAAATTTCATGAAAATTACTTAGCTCCAATATCTTTTCCTCTCCAAGTCTGTCTTCTTCAAAATTTATGCTTGCAGCTTCTTCAGAAAGCTCAACTTCCTAATATCTGATTCCATATGGCTCCTACCATTTAGAATAAGTACCGGTAGTTGCATTTCAAAAGCAGTGTCCTGGAACATTGCCATTAATCTTCTGTTGATCAAATCCTCAATGTTACAAACAAAATTCAAAAGTTGTACTGTAAAGCAATTTCTGAAATATTGTTTAGACCAATTCCAAATTTCATAGGAGGAAATACAAGAAGAATCTCTAGTATTTTGGAAGAAAGATGAGTTACACTACTTGAACTAATAAAATTTAGAAACATGTTGATAGTAATAACAATTAGATATAGTCTCTATGGATGTGTTCTCTATGTAATGTAATTATAAATCTAACTCTTGATTTTGTATTATGTATAGAAATAAAAGAATTTGAGCTTGAACCAACTATTGTCCCCATCTAAATCTATACCTTGTCCAGAATAAAAATAAAACAGAAATTAAGCAAAATTCTTATTGCATTTCTTTTGTATATATAAACATTGTTATTTTTATTTTTTTGTTGCTTTCATATTCACATGTCCTCAGACTCTAAGTGGAATACACTGAGGCTCCTCCAATTTAATTAACAACATTGTAAGTGAATGTCTTGCTGTAGGCCATTGATAGTGAATGATCCACTACCATGTGAGTTTTAGAGTCCCACAGCCTAGCTATTATGCTGTACTGATAAAAACAATGAGTAATGAAAAAAAATGAGCCATGAAACATCTCTCTTTTAATGGAACTTTTAAGGAATTAAGCCACTTTGTGCTGCACTTGGCCAGGCTGGCTAGACTTGATCAGTGTTGGGAATTCAATATTATTTGTGGGGTTGTTGTCCAAAGGCAATTTGGTACTGACTGCTTTGAGAAAGGATTTGAAATTTCTTACCAGGGAGGGGTGATTTGTAGCAGGTCCTAGCCTTTGGTAAGTATTGTATTTATCCTGTTTCAGTGAAACAATTCCACATCAGCTAAAGCATCCTATGGGAAAGCTTGAAAGACTCTTTTTGTCTCTTAATATTGCTTCTTTGTTGTCCTGCTGTAGGCCATCATTAGTTGTTATAAGAACAATTGCTTTCAAAGCACAAAAAGGTTACCAGAACAAATACATGTGGTGAAGCTGTCCTGACGATGTGTATTTAATTCAAAACCTTTGTTTTTAAATCTGTAGGTAAAACAGGCCAATGCAGACTGGCTGCCATCAAAACAACCAATACTGAAGAGGTATTATAAGGCGGGGGGTGGGGGTGGTTGTCTTATTACGTTTAGGAGAATAGTTGCTAAAGATTGTGTGAGTGCTTATCTTATGTCTCTTTTTTATTTCTTACGTTCTAGTTCACAGAGCCTAGAGGATGTAGGAAAAGTTTGGAAAGGAGTTCAGAAAGATCATGACAGATTGTGTACTTTGGTCACTCCAATGTCTGGTGAGTCTTGGATTATCGAACCCTAAAATCTAACGATTTCTGTCATTTTTGAGATAATGAAAACCTCCCTCAGATGTTCCCCTCCTGTCTTACTTTGGCATTTTGGGGTATTTTTGGGTGGTGGTGGTGGTTGACTATTATTTCTCAGCCAAACCTGTCTACCAGGGTTGTGAGAATAAGAATAAAACTGACGGTGGTAAGCAAGCAAACAAATCTATAGCTGGTATGGAATAATGTCTCCTTCTAGTTGAGCTGAGTTTCAGGTAACAAGTCTATGTAGTTTCCTTGACAACAGCACAAACGATTTTGCCATGATTTCTTCTGGGATGTTTTTTTTTTCTTTTTTAAAAAAATGTGTTTTATTGATGTTTATTATAAGATCAAATATAATGAAAATAAAGATTAGGAAAAAAAGGTGAGGAATGCAGGATTTAAAGAGAAAAAGAAAAAGCACAGTAAAATACTAATACGGTTGCAACCTCAACTTTTTACATTACTTACAGTTGGTACCAGCTAGTTCTAGAACTGCACAATTATTAAATCTTCAAACTAAATTCTAAATTTCATTTTTTTCTATTTCAGAGAAACCAAAAGCAATACCCCAATAGAAACTTTTAAACTTCCTTTTAACTTATATACTTTCATTTTAATAATATTTTGCAAACTTTAGGAATTATTCAAGATGTGTGTGTATGTGTGTGTCCTAATTTCATTTTTAATAATACTTTGCAACAGCTTTTTTTTTCAAACTCTCAATCTAGTTTCTAGCCCTAATATGTTTCCTGGTAGTTTCCCACTCAAGGTCACAAAGGGAGTGCCAATTGTGTGTTTCTCTGTCTCTGTCTCTGTCTCTGTCTCTATCTCTCTCTTCCTCCTTTCCTCTCTCCCTCTCCATGTCTCTGTCCATATTCATATTTCATTCATTCCAGAACTGGCTTTCAACTTTAGAGGAACCCCAAATCTGAGGCAAATTGAGGCATTTGTAGGAAACATTTTTAATCACCCCAAGCAGGGCAATTTGCCTTAACTGCTTTTCCCACTTCGAAATCTCTGCAAACCTTTGTCATATTTCTTTCACTTTTTTGTTAGAGCACTTTTTATTTCTTTTTGACTATGTATGTATGTATGTATGTATGTATGTATGTATGTATGTATGTATGTATGTATGTCACAACCCCTGGTAAGCCCC